TTTATTGCTTTTATTTTATAAAAAACATGCATACCTCACAGTCATTTTTATACTATCCATTACATTGTACAGATTAAAAAATAATAATCAATATTTTTGTAAAATAAAAGATTCGCTCGTTGATCTAAATGCAAGAAGTTAAAGACGCTTTATGCGTTTATTTTAAGAACCATTTTAATTAATAACAACGATAGATTTTGTACACAATCGATTTTGTAGAAGAAACAATTTTAATACGAGCCTTCGAGAGCTCCAGACATTCGCTACCGTTCAATCCGGAGAAAATGGAAATCTCCCGTTTCGTCGATTCGCGTTTCTATTTTCGTCGGTATTTGTTCACTCGTGTGAATGCGTGTGCCTACCAATATCGACAATAGAGGAAGACATGAATATCGACGAGGGCGTTGGAAGAAATCGACGGCACACACAGCCGCGATAAATTCGTTATAAAATGCAAAGAGCGTGACATTCTTTGACATGCGGAAACGCGACAACCGGTGATATAGGGTAATATAAAAATTAAAAAAAAATTACTCAAGTCGGGAAATAGCATTGCAATCTTGGAGTAAAATTGCTCGCGTTACTTTGACGGCAGAAAGAAGGTCAGTAAATCAATCAATATATCAATTATTCTTTCCTTCCAATAAACACAAGATTTAGTGGCATTGATGCGAGGAACCCGCATTGCACCCCGGTATGCGTTCATTCAGATTGGAGCAATGTGCTTTCGATTTCCTCAGTCTCTGATATCTTCTTCTCGATTGTTCTTGACTGAAGAGGAGATACGCCTACACCGGATATTAACTGAACTCTCTTTCTCTCTTTCTCTTTTGTGAGTTTCCAAACGCGATAGACATATGTTTGATGTCGAATCGATGTCTACACCGAAATGCAAAGGAATGCCTGAGGATGCATCTCGATATAATACGTATTGCGTTTACGCACTCGGTTCTTATTTTCCAAATGGATCAGTCGATATATGCTTCAATCGACGAGAATGAATTCGATGTATGTCGTTATTGACAAGTTCATTTGTGCTGCCTTTATATTGTACTTTTTTACTTTTTATCGTTGTATTTGTCACTATTGATGTTTTACATATTATTTACATATACTGTTAAAATCGAATGATTCTTTTACATTGGATTGAATTTTTAATGTCGTTAACTATTGAACTTCAGGTAAGTTTGATAGGGGAGGGAGGGGATTTTCTTTCCTTTTTATATTCATCTCTGTTTCATCCTCTTTTCTAACATCAGTCATTACAATTATAGCACACATACATGCTTACATACATCTTAATCGTGCAGCTTGAGATTAATAATATTGAAATATTCTCTTATCTTTAAATCCATGCTCATCATTATCTTGTAAAGTAATTCAATTGAAAAGAAAAAAAATTCAAAAATGAGCCAAAACATTTAATTTTTTATATTATATTATATTATATTATATTTTTATATTATATTACGTTATTTTAATACAGGTTAATTTTGTTTCACTTTAATACACATTGTTCTTATCACATTTAACTTACATAACTCATCTCTTTATCTTATCTTTTGAAAAGCACGACCACTTATGTTAAAATGTTTTATTTTACAAACCATGACAAAATATTGAAAAGACACGTTAAACGCAAACGTGCAGCTAGCTGAAAGAGAAAAATTGTTAAAGTTGTTAAATTTGCAGGGTCATCATTTGTCTAATTAAATCCTTAAAATCTAATCTGGATGCTTGTCTCCAACCGTTCGTTTTTCCCATTGATTTTCCTCTCTGCCTCCCTTCGTCGCTAATCCCGTCCTGTTAATTACACGAAATTGGAACCGACAAGCGAACGAATGAGAAAATTTTATCATGTACCATACACGTCTGCCTCCTCTCGGGATATTCTTTCTCTCTCGGGTTTGAGAGCGAATGTCGATTGTAATCTCGCGTTGCCCACGGAATTTGACTCCGGAGCGAATTCACAAAAATAGAATTTAATATCGGTGTAAATAGTCTCTGGGTCTTTCGCCGACATATCGTTACCGGAGTTGGATAATAATCCTTACACAGACATGTGTACACAGAAGATCCGCCACCCACATCATCTCCATGCGATAATCGCTCATTTAATATCCACCCAGGCAGAATCTAATCCTTGAAACCGAGAGCAAAAAGACTGCCGTTGCGAAACTGTCTACTTTGAGTGGTTTTGCAATTGCAAAATAAGCAACTTCCATAAAGATTCTCGAAAGCCTGTCCTAAACAGGAAAGCCATTAATCTAGAGACAAAAATTGCACGTCATGGCAATGTCACGTTATAAATAAATACATAAATAAATCCGCTGATTTATATAAACGTATAAATTTCATATAATTACCGAAACGATAAATTATTTAACAACCAGCAATTTTTTACAGCGTGATCAACGTTAAAAATGATATGCTGAAACACAAACACCCACTTTTGTTACAACAATTATTGCAATTATTGCATAATTGTCGCATTCAAAAGTCTTGCATAAATTTATATTTATTTTTTGTCAATTAGTACGTTAAATGCAGCAATTAAATATTACGACATTGTGGTACCGTTTGGATCTTTAGAATCGCGCAAATCGGTGCACGGAGTTCGCTCGACAGTCAACACTCGAACAATAACTTGTAAGGATTGCTCAGACGCGCACATTATGTTTCGGTCGGAATTCTGACCTAAATATGATTTTGCACGCGTTTAGAGAGGCAGGAAGTTCCGGGGAATGATTTATTTGTCATGATAATCCGACGAACTAGGTGTTTCTCAGCTGCGTACGCCAGTCGCATAGCCCCGTACTCCGCTCTAATGAACGACGGCAGTTTAGGCTAGGTGTATTTGCTTTGGAGTATTGACGAGCCTCGTATGTTAGCGAAAACGGCGGATCCTCAAGGTTACTCTTCGATTCTCTCGCTCGGAGAGAAATCCGGCGCGCCCGGTGCCGATCCAATATAAATGTTTGATCGAGCGCTTCTCCCAGCTGGACAAAGTAACTCGCCAGACAAATATTGCCTCCCTCGGAGCCTTCGAGAAACTGTGTGCTCCTTGCACGTACAAGAACTTAGGATTTAACCCTTCCGCCATTGGAAAAACAATTCATCGTGGATCATCGTTCATTTCTCTCTGCCTTTGAACGCGACACTTCCTTGCTTCCGCTTTAATGTTTCTTAAAGTGATTTTAACATTACGACTATAATGCAAAAAGCTTTTTTACTTGATAAATAGTATTAACGCCATAGAAGTCGGAGTGATTAGTGATTTTTGGATTTTAATTTTTATCTATTAAGCTAATAGCTCTTTTTCCTTGCATTAAAGGGCGATTTTGAAATTTTCCAACTTTCTACCGGTTACTCTCTTTATTCTAATGGAAAATTCTATTTTTTTTATTACTAAAAAATATTAATTTAAAAAATAGAGGCGATCGAAAATGATGACTTTCTGTATTAAATAATTTGGATAAATCTGAGAGAGAAAAATTGGAAGCTACAAATCGTAATATTCTTATGTCTGTAACTTCCAAAAAGAAAAAAAAAATGTTAATATCTATATATATAATATATATATATTATATATATATATATAAATATATATAATATATACTATAAATGTATTACAAATAATTATATTTACGTTAATTAACTAATGGAATATAATTATAATTAATTATAACTAATGGAAGAATTTTAAGCTATTCTTATTTCTTTTGCTTAAAATTGTCTTTTAAATTTCTCTAATTATGCAAAAATAATGACATATTCAAAAATGAATTAAAAAAATTATTTTTATCAAAAGCGCAAGAATTATGTGCAGTATCGTCAACATTTTTATAGGAAAACTATCTATCGTGGGAACTCCCGTTCGGTGATTAATTCCCACATAATGCGTCCTTGGTATCGCTCGTGAATCCAGCAACAGCTGCGAGCAATCCATGAGTTTGTATATACTAGTATATACACCTCGTCCCGCTCGGAATTTCGAGTTTTCGAGGATGAGGTCATTGTCGCGGGTGATAGTCGTAATAGTAAAGGCCTACTCGCCGATCGAATCGACGAGGGTCCAGGGGAATTGACATTTCGAAGATCGTTTTCTGGACCACCCTTGTCAATGGAGAAATTCCAAGTTCGCAGGCGAATGTGAAACGAAACCGCCGAGTTTCTTCCGGCGAGACTTTCCAACGAGCGAGGTGGTGGAGATGTTGGTACTTGTGATTTGTGGAAACTGGCGATCACAAAGCAACGACAGCTCTCCAGCTCGCGGTCGTGTTTGCGCTTCGCGTGCTTTATTATTCCAGTTGAACTTAAAGAGAAATAGCGAATGTGAAGGAGTCCCTCGAGACACGCATTCGCTGGATTCTGAGAACGTATTACTCAAGTGATTTTATGTAAAAGAAGGTCGCGACTTCCCGCAGAGAATCATGTCAATTAAAATCATATTACTTTTTCATAAAAAAAATGGAGATGAATGAATAGACGAATCGGAATTAACTATAATAATAATAGTATCTACTTATCGCATCTCTTAGAATATGAAATATTGTTTTTATATTATATATAACTTGGAAGTAATTTTTGAAGAGTATTTGTATTAAATAATTCTCTTGATAATCTCAAAAAAATACTCTTACATAGCAAGTAAATTAATAATTTTAAGAGAATCTGAAAAGGTGTTTAACTAAAAGAAACATAACATTTTTTTAAATGGAAGCCAGTTTTTCTCGTTTTCTCTTACAAAAAAGTTTAACGATGAGAGAGTTGAAAATCAAGCACAGTTTTTTAGCTTCGTGTGAAGAAAACGTTAAATGTAAAAAGTGCAGGGAGGTCCCGCGGGTTTTAAATTTACACTATTGTACGTAATGCGCGATACTTTAATGCAAGATAGTATCTGTGTCGTAATTGGGTACTTCGTGACATACACTGTCGGTCGCACTCTCTCTTAATTACACAAGTGGTTTGCGTACTAATTACGACGTTCTGTGTTCTAGGTGAGGCGAGGACGTGAGGGTTGATCCGATGAATGGGGCCGAGCTCTGACAAAGGTATTGTCTAGAAATAATTTCGGGGGGACGGGTATAAAAAAGGGGGCGCGATTATGTATAATTCTTGCCGTTCAAAAAGAGGGTGTTTCATGATACGAGAATTCTTGCGAGCTCTCCTTCCCATCGGACAATATTCTTTTCAGAATTCTCCTCTACGCAAAATGAGCGTAACGCGTCTTTCATTAATATATCTTTGCCTCTGTAAAATGGTTTCTTGAATGAAAACTGCAATGACCTCATATGTACGTTATAAGTCAAGAAAATTTCTTTTAAAGGAAGCTAAATTTGAAGGAATAATTATCAACAAGATTGAGCGCTTTAAAAATAATTTTTAAAAAAGTATTTTATCTAGAAAATTATAAAACTTTTTAAAATATAATAATAATTTATTTTCGATTATTTATTTATATAAATTTAATTCTATAAACACTCAAAGTTAGAAAACGGAATAGATATACTGCTGAGTTTCTTTATGTTAGATTTGCATCTATTATTATAATTTACTATTTATCTGATTTAAGGTTTCACAATTTAAAAAAAAAATTGTATTCTTATATTACTTTTGAGTATTAAATTTATAAGAAATAAACGTCATATAAAGATTATATCGTGAATCTTTATCATAAGATAAAAATTCATGATATTCAGCTTGATATTATAGTCTTGGGAGAAATTACAGCAATCTCCACGAAATTTTTTCAAAGTTTCGTGAATTAAGAATTTCGCAGAATCGCTTTCCGTATTGTTGGCGCACAGGTATCGATTTTAGTCGGTGAACGAGCCGAAATTATTTTGCCGCTTGAATCGAACGGCTCGTTCGATTAACTAGAATTTCACCGCTGTCAGGGATTTGTTCGACTTCGTTGTTGAATGTCACTCGCAACGGTCGCTGATAAATCTTAATCTATAG